ACGATACATAGGCCTATATCTTTCTAAGGTATGTTATGTGATTCATATGTTTTATTTTGTATTTTCATCACTTTCACCAGGTTTTTAGTGATGTATTATTGCCATCATGTTCTCAGATCTCCTTAGAAGTGCTGGTGATGAATTCTGTCCACAACAGCTTGGAAGTTGTTTGTGTAACGCAAGTGTAGTGCTTGGGGCCAACATCGGTCACTCATCACAGCATATGCTCTCCGTTTTGGCTGAGGCTAAGATAAAACTACTTGCACCAGGATTAAAAGAAAAAAAAGAATTGCTGTGTAGATCCTCAGCTCAAGGCAGTTGGGTGGTTTAGAAGGTCGAGCTCTCGGAGAGGCAAACTCAGCTCTAGGGAGTGGGTCAGTGGGCAAAGCCCCAGGGTTAGGAAGTTTTTAGCTTAAATGGCACTGTGTATGGATTCTCTGCAGTGCCCTTAACTTTATGCCGATGGGTATCAGAAATCTTCAAGTATCATAAACTCTGGTGATTTCTGGCAACATCCAGACACTGGGCACAGTAGTCTGCTACAAGTAGCGGAACTTCCTGCTCCACATGCTCTGGTGCGTCGTCACGTGCAAGCCATACCCCGCAGACCAAGTGGTATGTTATACCTGTCCACGTGACCCATTGGGAATGGGTTAAATTTTACTCAGACATATGTAGGAAATAATCTGCACAGGTTAAATAAGAAATAAAGAAGTTGGGTGGGGTTTAGAACAGGGCTGTGGAGCCAGAGTCCGAAGGAACTTGGTGTTGCCAGAGTCGGTAAAAGTGTCCCGGCTCTGACTCTGACCCCAACAAAATTATACTTTTTAAACATATCGCACTCTTTATTTCCACCTGAGAGAATGAGGAATTATAAAGCTTTCATTTTGTCATAGTCCTATATGTAATCTCTCTAAGCATGAGTTTTTTTTTTTAATAATACAGATAGTCCCCTACTTAAGAACATTCTACTTATGAACATTCCATACATACAAACAACATTTTTTAAGTACTAAAGTCCAAAAAATTGTTTGAAAGATGCTAACAAACTTCAAATTTCCCGGGCACGAATATAGTTCAAGAGTCTGGTACTTTATAAGGTATGTCATACTTATTAGGATTTATTTACGGGTATTCTTAACGTAAACAAAACTTTAAAACAATGGGAAAAAAAATAATGGTGATCCGACTTTCAACTTACAAACAAATCAACTTACAAACAAATCAACTTACAAACAAATCAACTTACAAACAAATCAACTTACAAACAAATCAACTTGCAAACAAATCAACTTACAAACAGCCTCTCGGTCCCCATTATGTTCTTAAGTTGGGGACTTACTGTATACAATAAAAAGGCCTCAATAGCAAAGATATAACTATTTGACTCAAATCTGTAAGGACATGGGGTTAAAAGGTATCATGGAATCCACTTTAAAGATAATTATATATTCAGATCGGAGTCGGAAAAGGATACACAAGAAATCATGGAGTCAGTGTTCTGACGCCACAGCCCTGGTTTAGTAGGCAGAGCTCACTGAGAGGCAAATGCAGCTGTAGGGAGTGGGTCAGAGGGCAAAGGGATGGTGTTTAGTTCAAACGGCAGTGGATGCCCTGGATTGCTCATAAGGTTGTTGCTTGAGGAATAAGGGCTTGGTCTAAGAGGTGCAGACATGTACTGTAATTGCATGGGATGTTTATGAAAGTTTTTGATAGTGCACAAGATATTTGAAATGAGGAAATTTACTTTCTTTTGAGACTCTTCTGGAAGAGATTTTAGTGGAAAATAGCAAATTAAAAGATATTTGAAATTATAGATAATAGTCCATTGAATAGTTTGTTTCACAGCCATATGGTCCAAGACAATGTACACCTATGGACTTTGTTTCCCAAGTCAATAATATGAAAGTTGTTCAACCAGAAATAATTTGGCATGCATGTTCATAATGACCCACTGGTATAAGGAAAATGTAATGACCCTTATTAACCTAATGCAGCTGGGTGGTTTCCCGATGTGAAAACCCTCTCTCCTGGGCTGTGTTCATAGTGGCCCAGGCCCTGCTGCCGGGGGTTACGTCACCATCACAGCATGTGCGGTGGCCGTACATGCCCCGGAAAATGGGACCGGTGCACCGTGGCATGTGTGCACATGCCACCCAGAATATAGCCCAGGCATGACATGGCATGTAGGTGCATGCCACCCAGAATATAGCCCAGACGTGCCATGGCTTGTAGGTACATGCCACCCAGAATATAGCCCGGACATGCCATGGCTTGTAGGTACATGCCACCCAGAATATAGCCCAGGCATGACATGGCATGTAGGTGCATGCCACCCAGAATATAGCCCAGACGTGCCATGGCTTGTAGGTACATGCCACCCAGAATATAGCCCGGACATGCCATGGCTTGTAGGTACATGCCACCCAGCAGGAAGGGGTTAAAAGAGGGGAAAGAATACTCTTGCTGATACGAGAAATAATCTGCCCAGGGAAAAGATGAAGAAAAAACAGGCCAAAGCCCCCACTAGGGAAACACAGCAATGAGCGGGGGATAGGGTTGTACAGTGATGCTTTTGGATTTGTAGGAGTGTCACCAAGGTTGTTAGCTGGAGTAATAGGGACATAGTCTCAGAGGGGTGCAGTTCCTTCATGAATGATTACCAATACTTTCACTTATTTCCAGAACCAGTCATTATGATGGGGGACAGCTTGAATAATTGGAATAAAAAGATTAAAATAAAAACAATTGCAAAGTTGGATGCCTGTATGAGGCCTCCTCATATGTATCGCTATTTTCCCATACTTTACAGCAAGATAGTTATAGAAAATATATATGTAGTAAGTAAATAAAAGCTACAAAGAAGTTTTAGTCAAGGTGTATCAGCAGAGAACACCCCAACAAAGCAGCAGGATTGCTGTGATAGGAAGGCATTGTGAAAGTTCCAGGCATTAGCTTTTAGAAGATTTGAAATTACATTTTCATTCACACTTCAATTTCTTATCTTGTATTAGTACTTGTATGTCACTAATGTGATATTTGGGTTGGAAACTTTGCATTTCTGGTACACTCTTAAATATATTCTCTCAGCACTTAGTTGGTCATGTGTGCAAATAGCAAAAATCAGGTGCTGTGTATGTAACATTTCTGTTTACAGGAGTTACATTCATACATTGCCAGTGAACCAAGATGTTTGTGCTTGCGATTTTTTCTTTTTATCTCAACAGTTAGGTTTCGATATTTAGATTTTTGGCAGTAGGTAATTTTGAATGATTTTTTACCTGTGGTGTCTCCAAATACATACCATGTAGATTAAGTCAAACTAAGTATGTAATGAAAAATCACAGAAGTTCTAAATTTTCTTTTCTTTTATAGTCAAAAATTGAGTCCTACAAGAGAGGAATGTTCAGTTAAACTAGTATTTCATATTGGTTGTAAATTCATTTGTATATGGGGCCATAAATACTAGACCAAGGCAACTTCGGTAAGCAGTCTGTTGACATAACCCTCCCTTTTTTTCCATTAGCACTTTTGGATACTCAGAAGGAATAGAATTAACTAATGGCATTTATGGAGCTTGTCTAAAAGAGAGATGTAAATGGAGTCAACATTATCTGCTGAATCTTTGTCAAATTTTGTAGCCACCTTTAGAACAATGAAGGGAAAACACAGCAGCTTGCAGAGGCTTGTGGTCAGAGGTCTGTGACAGAAGAATGTGCTAGGAAACCAGAGGTCCATTAATTATTTGAGATTTGAGTATGACATAAGGAAAGTGTCGGTTACTTCTCTCCTATACTGCCGTTTCTTTTTTCCAATTATTTTTGGTGTCAATGTCTTCCTCAAACCCATAATGAGGCCGGTCAACCCAAAAAAGTAAAACAAGAGTAGATAGAAAATCACACACCATGAGAAGGAAAAATCTGTTGTCTTTCTTCACTCAAATTGAAACTAATTTATGGACTTTTGACTTCACAATGTATTCTTGTGTCCCAAAGCTCCAACCACAAGCTGCAGCAAACTTCCGTCTCTTTCCAGTGTTGTTATAGGGCAGATGTAAAATTTGGTCAGTAGTGCTACATACTGAATGTCTTTGATGAGCACTGTAATGAGCACTATATTTATGTATTCAGCAAATGATCAACTTTAATCATGATTTGAATGGAATGTATGGGAGAAACTGCACATTTGATTTCACTCACATCAGTTTCAGATTCATTATTTAGACCGACTCCTTAGGCAATTGAATACCCTTGTACTAGAATAATGTGCTAATAGAGGACTCAACACATTAGATAAATGGAAGGAAGGAGAAAAGGACAGAAAATCTATTTCTTTCCTTGCTTTATATCACTGGGTGATTGCTGCTGTGAAGCAAAATTTTCAAGCATAAACAGATTGATGTTTAGAGCATGGATCTTTAGTAAACAGATATTAAATGGTTATTGAACTGATATGAAAATACTTCTCAATTATGATATGATCAGATAACTAGTAAGATGTAGTTGATCATGGAAAGTGTATAATCAGCATGCAAAATTCATGCAGGTGAATTTGAAGCCAGTTATGTTGCAGACACATTATTTATGTAACATCATTAGTCTGTTTTTTTTTTATTTTCAGGGAAGAGTTAATCATGGGGAGCCTGGCATGGCTGCCTGGGGGCTTGCCTCCTGTCCTGCCCACTCTCAAGGAGCAGATTGAAGAGTACCTCTTGATGCCAGAGGAGCTCCCCATCCATGCCCCCATCCACTCTCGGCGATGGTTCCCCCGAACGCCAGACCCCAGGCGCCTTTTCAGTCTCACGCTCTTTCCTGTAACTTCGTGCCTTGAGGTGGAACGTGACCCTGCCACCGGCCATATTACGGGAGTACGCGAAGTGTCAAACTGTGATGCAGGCGCCACAGCCAAAAACTCCATGTCAATGCGGCGTGCTCCAGGACCTCCAGAGGAGATGGTGAGGGGGTCGTCGACCAATCTGCCGTTCTGGCCCGGAGGTTTCTCAGAGCCCACACTGGACAAGGAGTCCACAGAAGCAGAACACGTGCTGGACCTGACCAACCTGATGACCAAACACCCCAGGCTGTCCCGAGGCATCACCTTCGAGGAGCCAGAGCCCCCACCCCAGGAGGAGGTCAAGGAACCCGAGGAGGAGAAGAAGAGCTCTGACCTGGTGGTCAGCATCTCCGACATGCTGATGGTGGATGAGAGTGTGCTCAAAATCTTTGATGTGAAGGAGGAGCAGACCAAGAAGCCAGCCGCACTCACCCTGGAGGACCTGAACGAAGAGGACTCCAACCTGGTCGAGACCTTCAAGATAGAACTGGCTCCCAAGAAGGAGGAGTTTGTCTTGAACATTAGTGAAACCCCTGTGGAAGTGGAGCTCTCTGGGCCCAGTACTGAATGGGCTGAGAAGGTCGATGTTCACGCCCCTGTGGATGATTTTCATACGCGTGTACCTAATCCTGCCTGCACTTATCCCTTCGAGCTTGATATATTCCAGAAGCAAGCAATTTTGCATTTGGAAAATCGAGAGAGTGTCTTCGTTGCTGCTCACACTTCAGCGGGTAAAACCGTAGTGGCTGAGTATGCCATTGCACTCACTCTTAAACATATGACTAGGGCCATATATACCTCACCAATTAAAGCCTTATCAAATCAAAAATACAGAGACCTGAAAATAAAGTTTGAAGATGTAGGTTTGTTAACGGGTGATATTCAAATTAATCCTAAGGCATCTTGTTTGATTATGACAACTGAAATCTTGCAGTCTATGCTGTATAATGGTAGTGATTTAATTCGTGACTTAGAGTGGGTTATTTTCGATGAGGTTCACTACATCAACAATGCAGAGAGAGGGCACGTATGGGAAGAAGTTCTAATTATGCTTCCCGAGAGAGTGAGCATTGTATTGCTCTCAGCAACTGTTCCCAACACCATTGAATTTGCTGATTGGATTGGCAGAATTAAGAAGAGGAAGATCTACGTGATCAGCACCACAAAACGGCCTGTGCCCCTGGAGCACTTCCTCTACACTGGAATGGGTGGCAAGAGCAAGGATGAACGCTTCCTTTTGATAGACGCCCAAGGGAAGTTTGTGACCAAGGGCTACAACGGTGCAGTTGCCGCCAAGAATGAGAAGAAGAGCAAGATGCAGCAGCAGCAGGGTCCCAAGCATATGAGGCAGCACATGGGTGAGAAGCAGGAGAAGAACATGTGGATTGGCCTCATTGACCACCTCAGCAAGCGAGAACTCCTGCCCATTGTGGCGTTCACGCTTTCCAAGAAGAGGTGTGACAGCAATGCCAGTCAGCTGCTCAGTCAGGACCTGACCACCAGTGCCGAGAAGGGAGAGATCCATTCCTTCATCAAGAGGTGCACGGAGAGGCTGCAGGGAGCAGATCGAGAGCTCCCACAGGTTGTCTACATGCAGGAACTTCTCACCAAGGGCATTGGGGTTCATCACAGTGGAATTTTGCCCATTTTGAAAGAAGTTGTAGAGATGCTGTTTGCCAAGGGTCTAGTGAAGCTGCTGTTTGCCACAGAGACCTTTGCCATGGGAGTCAACATGCCTGCGAGGTGCGTCGTGTTCGACTCCATCCGTAAGCACGATGGAACAGGCTTCAGAGACTTACTTCCTAGTGAATACATTCAGATGGCTGGTCGTGCCGGCCGCAGAGGTCTTGACACAACGGGAACTGTGATTGTTCTGTGCAAGAATGATGTGCCGGAAATGGGTGACCTTCATCGCATGATGTTAGGCAAACCCACCAAATTGGAATCACAGTTTAAGCTCACTTACTCAATGATCCTCAACATTTTACGTGTGGAAAGAATCAGCGTTGAAGACATGATGAAGAGATCGTTCTCAGAAGCCATCACTTACAAAAATCAGAGTCAGTATCAGGCTGAGCTTGAACTATATACTGAACAGCTGAAGCAAGAACCTGACTTTAACTGTATGATGTGTAAGAGCATTGAACAATATTATGCAGCTGCCAAAGAGTTTGTGGAGCAGCGCGCTAATGTCTTCAACCTGATTCATGGTTTTCCAGGTGTTGTTAAGGCAGTGGCACCAGGAAGAATTATTCTCATATGTTATGAACAATATCAGTCTTACCTTGCTTGCGTTCTGAAAATTGATGCAAAAGACAAGACCAAGATGACTGTGTTTGTGTTGAAGGAAAAGTCCAGGCATAATTTCTCAAAGCACGAACTCATGGCAAAGGAGGCTCTGAGTGCCTCAGAAGTAATGTTTGACCCCTTGGAGGAACCCTCAGAGCATGGCTTTCTGGAAATTACCTTCAAGCATATTGCTGCATTAACAGACCGGGTTGTGAAGATTGATGGGGATAAAGTTATCGACAATATTAAGAAACGGCAGATCCCACGATTCAAGGATGACCCTCCATCACAGTCTGTCATGGAGCTGCTTAAGGAGATGCAGAGGTTGAATGAGTCAGGAGGCGAGAATCTGGCATGTCTGGACCTCCTGAATGACCTAGGAATCAGGGAAATAGCAGCTGTGAGCAATATCCACAGAATGAACATCTTAAGGAAGAAGGCCGTAGAGATGCCTTGCTTGGACTGCACACAGTTCAGGGAGCACTTCAACATGATGTACAAGAAGTTACATCTACGGGAGGAAATTGGACGGCTGAAGTTCCTAATGTCTGAAGAGGCTTTGCAGCTGCATCCAGAGTACCAAATGAGGATCCAGGTGCTCAAGACACTAGGCTACATTGAGGAGAACAACACAGTCACTCTCAAGGGTCGTGTGGCTTGTGAGATGGGCAACCATGAACTCATGATCACTGAGCTGGTGCTGGAGAACGTGTTTGCTGAGAGCCCAGTGGAGATAATCTCTGGCCTTCTGTCAAGCTTGGTCTTCCAGGACAGGAATAGTAGTGACCCTGAGCTCACACCAGAGCTTCTGAAGGGTGTCCAGCAATTCAAGGGTGTGGCCAAACGCATTGGTGAGGTGCAGAAGGAGTGTGGGCTGAAGGAGGCTGTGGGTGACTATGTTGACCAGTTCAACTTTGGTCTCACAGAGGTGGTCTACCAGTGGGCCAAGGGCATGGCATTCAAGAAGATCATGGAGCTTACAGATGTTCAAGAGGGAATCACGGTCAAGTGCATTCAGCGCCTGAACGAGGTCCTGAAGGATGTGCGAAATGCGGCCAGGATCATTGGTGACCCAAGTCTCATGCAGAAAATGGAAGAAGCATCAACAGCCATCAAGAGGGACATTGTCTTCACTCCCAGTCTGTATACACAATAAACATATATATTAGTTGGTGGAGAATTACTTAACCTTAATGGTGATATATGTTAATTCAAGACCAGCGCTATCATGTCTACAGGACAGTATGTATTATATCTAATCATTTGTGTCAAACTGCATTTTTAAACAGCCTGCTATCAGCATGGTATTTAGACCAATGGCTCTGATCCTGGAATTAGTAACAACATAACATTTCCACATACTTGACATCAGTCGTTCTTTGTCCCACTATGCTACATACAAGGTGATCTGAAAAACCTATTTGAAAATGTTTTTTCCAGTAAAAGCATAAGACCAAATTACTCTCACAGTTTGGAAAAGAATATTGCTTTGTATCTGAGCCATTGGTATTTGCTGTGGAGTAGTGTACCTTACTTCAGTTATTCAGTATTACATTATGGGACATGTTAGCACAGAAATGTTATATGCATAAAACCTTGTCGTTTTTACAATGAATAACAGTGATTCACAATGTTCATGTTATGGGAACGATAGATAAACTCAAATTTTGTGATCTCCTTAAATTGATACAAAGACTGAAGGAATATATCTTGTACTCCAGTGCCAACTCGGAATTCTACTCCCAATTAAGGGTGATGTGTACTTATATGCACAAGCTGCCTATCTGTGATTGTACCAGTTTTAATGAACAATTGTACCGGTAATATAAAGAACTTTATCATTACTGTACATTGATAATATATATTTTTTTGCAAATGAACAAGGGTTTTTATATCCATGGTGTAAAAGCAAAAATCACATTCATCCAGCTTTCAAAAATTATTAATAAAAAAAAAAGTCACATATATGAAAGTGTACTAAAACAAGAATTTCAATGCTTACTAAAGTTATACTTTTCATTTCGTTTTTTCTAGATTTAACAATATATTTGATGCACATTTGTTAGCCCAGTACTGCTGAGAACATGTAAGATTCACTTCATTCATGTATTGTGATACGTAGATGGCTCTCTAAGTGTTCAGCCGCCAAGAGCTCAATGAATAGACCTTGTAACCTTCCAGATTTCACTTTCCCATGTGTTTTTTTTTTTAATACTATTGATATTGAAAACTGTCATTGTATTGCCATCATGATAATAATACTAATGATGTATTATTATAATATCAATACTAGTAGCAGTATGAGAAAAAAAAAATCCAGAATTCAAGGAAAAGGGTAAACAAGCAAGGTAGGTAGAACCATGTATATGTAAAAACACTGATGAGATAAACTCAGTGGGTATGACAGGTATATGCCATCCCCGGTAGCAGTGGGTATATATGATTTAACACAAATGCGATGGGCATGACGTACATACATGCCATGTCCACTGTGATTTTACTTCATTAATTTTTTTTTTTTTTTTTTTTTTAATATTATACATTATCTTATATTGCTATTATTAAAGTCTATAACATTATAGTAATTATAATGTCTATAGTCAAAGTAACACCATTGCTATTGATAGCAATAGTAAAAAAAAAATGTTTTCCCACAAATTCAAGGAAAGATGAAATCACACAAGGTCACAAGGTCTACTAATGGACTCCTTTGTGGCTAAGCACAAGCAGAGCCATCTATGTGCAGAGACTTTTCACAAAAAAATCATAAAAATGAGCACAGCATTTTCCCGGCAAATTTGAGTCAATATTGAAAAATAACAAGAGCATACTTGATATTTATGTTTCCTCTATAATTTTAGTTAACTTGATATCTTAA